ATATCTTATACTAGTTATTAGTCTTATTTCTTAGTAACGCTAACGTCTATAGGTCCTATATGTTATCTATAAGTAGTACTTTAGTAGTTATTATATACTTACTACTAGGTGTTTTATTTTTTATTCTACTAGTGTAGCTGTTTAGGCCTTTAGGAATACTTCTTACCTATATTAGCACTAGGTTATTAAGTTTCTTCTTATTCCTTATGTTATTTAAAGAGTTATATATTAATTTTAATAGTAAGTTTAATATAAAATAAGAAGTCCTTAGGTAGGTTAATAATCTTAATAAGTTTATTCTTAATATTATCTTTAAGTCCTTAGTAGAAAGTAAAGATTAATAATTCTTAAGTAATATTAAGTTAAGTAGCTAGTTATTAGAATTTAGCTATATAGTATAAGGCTAAATTAGTTTATTATAAGCTAGCTAGGTCTTACTTAGTCTGTTACTTCTTATTAAGATCTTAAAATAGTAACTATAAGGCTTTTATAAAACTAGTTATACTTCTAAAGATATTTTACGTCTTATAAAAGTATATAGTAAGGTTACTATTATACTTAAGAAATTCTTCTAAATAGGGTTTATACTAAGAGAGCGCTTTTTTTTATAAAAAAGTTCTTATATAAATAACTTATTTAGTCTTACTTCTAAAGTTAGTAGTATAAAAGGTCTAATAAGTATAAACTTAAATTAAGAATCCTTTTAGCTATCTACTAGTCTTATTATAAGTTCTAAGTAAGTTAAGTTTAAGCTTATTACGTCTATTAACTAGAGTAGTAATAATATTTACTACGCCCCTAAGGGTATTTACTTCTTTATTTAGTCTTTTAGCTTTAGCTATTTTGTCTTTTAGCTAAGTAATAGTGTTATAAACTATATTTTATAGCTAGCTAACTTTAAGGGTTTTAGTGTTTAGTTTTTTACTAATATTATTAATTATAGCTTATATTTAAGCTATATTATTATTATTATATTTAATATACTACTAGATTTTATTATATATACCTTAGGTAAAGTCTAGCTTATTATTTAATTTTTTAGTGTCTTTTATTTCCTTATCTAGGCTTCTAGTTAGGGTAGTTAGGTTTTTTCTAAAGCTAGAGGAAGTTAGGGTTATCTTAGATATAAATATTATAAAATACTATTAGGTAAGTATTAAGGTTAACTTACTTAATAGAAGTAATTAAAGTGTTATAGCTAGTTTTTAAGTAGTAAGGTTTCTACTAATAGTAAGCAGAAGGAGATACTTAGTAATAGTAATTATTATCTTACTAGTCTATTAATTACCTAGTAATTAGTTATATAGTTAATAGTTATAAAAGTAGCTTATATAGCTCTTATTAATTAAATTACTAAGGTTAGATACTAAAAGGTATTTAAAGAATATATTATAAGTTAATTACTAAAGAGCTATAGAAGTCTATCCTTAAGTGTATCTAAGTCTATCCTATATATAAGTCCTAGCTGTTCCCTAAACAGTCCTATTAACTAATAGTTATAAGTAATTACTATTCTTATATAAGGTAAGCGCTTAGTAGATACTAGTAAGTGCTTACTTTTATAATTACTAGTAATTACCTTATTATATAATTACTTCTTTATCTTTATGTAACCTATACTATAGTTCTTCTGTTCCTAGGGAGTTATTTATCTATCCTTTATCTCTTGTTTATATAAATACTGCTACTGCCTATTGTCTGCTTGTTAGGTAAGGTAATATAGCCTGTAACTTATTAGGTTATAACATGCGATTTATAAGGCTATTACTAGCTAAATACGCCTTACTCCCTAAAACACTATACTCACCTTAAGATAGTTAGGTAGCTGTTACTACCTAGTCTTAGGTAGCGCCCTTTAGTTAAGTAGTTATTATCTTATAATAATTAATCTATATATATTACGCCTTAAGTTTAATAATTATAGTAATTTACTTAGTGCTACTGTTTTAAGCCTAGGTATTTACTACTAATAGCTTAATAAAGATCCTATAATTAAAGAGTATATCTATAAGTTACTTAAGGCGTAGGATTTCTTAGTTAGCCTTAATAACTTTTAGTATAATTAAATATTTAGTTTTTAGAATTATAAAGAAGCCCCTTATTATTAAGTTAATAGTATCTTAGTAGTAGCTATATAAGTAGAAATCCTATATAAGGCCTATTACCTAATCTAAGATTATTATTACTAAGTAGTATCCTATATAGCCTTATTTAAGATTATAAAAGTCTAGCGTTAGGTAATTACCTAGCGCTATATTTATAATAAGTTTATAAGGCTAGTAGTAAATCTACTGCCTTATCCTACTAAGACTATATAAATTATAGTCTTATATTATTATAGCGTTAACTTAGGCTAGATATACTTTACGTATAGTATTTATAATCCTTTATAAAGCCTTAGCACCTAGGTAGCTAAGACGCTTATACTATATTATTATATTACTATAAAGTAGTTATCACTATATTAATATTATATATTTATTTCTTACTTATAGGGTTAGTAGTAAATTATTAGTAGAGTGTAAAGTAAAAGCGCTTTTACTTTCTTAGCTATAGCTATATTACTTATAATATTTAAGTACTTATTAGTTAGCTTATTCCTTAATATAGCCTATAAGGCTATAATCTATACGCCTTAAGTTATTATTACCTAGGCTTATATCTTACTATATACCTTACTAGTGTAGCCTTATAAAGGAAATAAGTAATATAGTAAATATATAATAATATATTATATTATATATATAGAGCTTTATTAGTAAGCTATTAGCACCTTTTAAAGTAATCTCTATAGTACTATATCTTTTAATTATAACTTAGGTAGTACTAGCCTAAATATAGTTACTAATTAAAGCTACTACTAACGTAATAAACTATAATATATAGTTAAATATATAGTTAGTAGTGCTTAAATTAAGTAAGGCTAAATTACCTAGCTTATAGCCTTATAAGGTAGTATAAAAAGCTACCTTTATATAGTATTTACTATATAGTTAATATAACTTAGCCTTAATTCTTTATACTTATTTAGTAAAGTTAGGATTACTTATAATATACTTATTAATTTATTACTAACATTATGTATTTACTTACTAATTATTAGGTCTTTATAACTTATTTATAAAGTAATAAAGTTATAATAAATAAGGATTAAAGTATATAAGGCACTTTAACTTCTTACTTATACTTTATTAATAGTAATATCTCTTATTAGTTAATTTATTCTCCTTTACTATATCTTTACTACACGTTAGGTTATTATTACTATTACTTTTAGTTAGGCTAAATACGCTATAGCCTACTTAGCTATAGTGTAGTAAGTTATTAGTAAGGGCTTTAACTCTCTCTAGCGCTATCTTATAAAGAGACTACTAGTTAAGATTATTCTAGTTACTTATTATTTTACTAGTTACTATATATAAATCTAGCTAGGAGCTAAGTAAGCTACTTTATAAAGTAGTAGTAAGGTTATTAAACTAAATTAATAGCTATTAGTAGTTAGGTAAATTAACTTATACTAATTTACTATAGGCTGCGTTCTATTTATTAAGCTATATAGTAAGATCTTTCTTAGTAGTTAAGGCCTTTTGCTAGGCTTTTACTAACACTTTACTATATTTATTATAGGCGTACTTTATATACTCTTCTTTAGTTATTCTTACTACTATACTAAGTTTATTAAGCTATTTAGCTAGTAATTTATTAGATTTATAATATCTTTCTTAAAGATCTATAGATATAGTAGATTTAACTATATTAGCTACGTCTTTAACGTCCTTTTACTAAGCAGTATACTTATATACTTCCTTATAATAGTAGCTTATATAGTTATTTAGATATATAAGGTTATAAGGATTAAGATTATTTAGTGTTACTATATATTTAGTTTTATATATAGTCTTATTAGGTATAAATATAATAGCTTTACTTTACGCTATATATATTTATATATAGGCTTAATAAGGTATCCCTATAGTTACTATAGCTATAGTAGCCTCTTAGTAAGTAGTAAGCTCCTCTTTAGTTAAAGTATATAGATATTACGTTATAAGTAGCTTTATTAGTTTCTTTAGATATATCTTAAGGATTAATTAGTCTGCTGCTATAACCTCTAGGTTAATATACTCCTAGAGATTATAACGCTTTACTTTTACTTAGATAGCGTTAAGCTATATAAACTAATTACTATATAATTATAAGATAGTTACTTTATTATTATAGTTCTTATTTATTATTATAATAGTATTTAATTAGTAGATAAGTATATTAGTTATTATAGATATATATATTAGACTATTAATAATTAAATAGTAAGGATTATAATAGTTACTTAATTAATTCTATTATATATTATATATCTATTATAAATTACTATAGAAATAGGGAAAACCCCCTATTTCTTAGTTAGGAAATCCCTAGCTAATCCTAGCGATATTATTAGTAGACTTGCCCTAAAAGTGGGGCTAATTCACCGCCTATTCCCTGACGATTTGCTGTAGGGCAACCGTGCATTCGCCAGTTAATTCACGTGTAATTCCGCCACATTTGACACCTATAGACCTTTGTGACGTGTGTGTGCGTATCTATTGGTTAGAGCTTTATCACCTACTCCACTGTTAGATCAACTGTGCACGGGCCCTATCAGTTATCGTGCACGGTACTCTCGGGTTGTCAGGGGGGGGGCATTATCAGCTTGTCTGTAGACTCAATTAAAGGAGCTGGCGCCGTTTAGATTAATCTTATCTAGAGCCCCACTACTTTGTCTCTGTCTCGGACAATTGATTATCAGCTCCGAAAACCTTACGCGTCACAGGCACGCGTTCGTTCCTCTCCACTCTCATTCAATCTCGCTCACTCTCATCGACTCTCTCTGACTCTCATCCACTCTCTCCGACTCTCTCTGACTCTCATCAACTCTCTTCAACTCCCACCCATTCTCATACACTTCTAATCACCACCGCCCGCATTCACTCACCATGTCGCCCCAAAAATGTCTCCAGCAGCTGCTGAGCTGCGGCAGCACCTACCGGCGGCGTGGTAGATTCACGCCCGAGGAGCACAAACGGATCACGGCAGCTTTTGCATCCCTGTCTCAGAACCTCGGCCTCATCGATCCCCAGACCAGGACCAGCTCCTACTTTCGACACAGAGTCTGTCAAGCATTCTTACGTGACATCGAACAGATAGGCGGCAGGGACCTTGTTGTGCTCTGCGCGGCTGCTCTAGGTCTCACGCAAATCGGGAAAATGACCAAGGGGCAGAGAACAGAGCTCACCGATCTCATCATCAGCCGACAGTCAGACATCGAATCGGCCGGCCTCGGTATGTGTTTTCCCATTTTCTGGGATGTTAGGGCATCATTACGATGCAACCCGCTGACCAAGTAATGCACACGGCTACAGCGGCCATCTGGGAGGAACCACAACCGCTAGGCCTCGCCGGACCCGGGGAGCAGGCAGATCAACCGGCGCGCATACAAACCTCCTCAACATCAACTACGCCTTCATCACCCCATGTCTCGCTTGCCGAACCCCTTGTTGCGGCCACGTCCCCCATCCACGGGATTCTTCGCAACGCGCCTGTCAGAACGTCAACGCGTGCGCTCCTGGCCGAGTTCCTGCTCACACGGGAAGGGCCCCTGGCACCCGTCGCGGCCGCATTTGCCATTGCCATCCATCGAGCAGGCTGTATCGTTCGCCCAGGTTCCCCTCGGCACCCAAGGATTGGTGGGCCTGCGGCTATTCCGTTCCTACTGCCATCCCGAGATTGTTGGTACCAAGGCCGCCCCCCGGACGAAGATTCTTACATGAATGACCTGCTCATGAACATGGAGGGAACCCAAACCTTCCACAGTGGGGAGCAGCGGTCGCTTGCAGACAAACCCAACTACTGGTCTGTTCTGCGTCAACTCAATAATCCAGACCCTCGTCACACAGCGTGCATCATGAGCGTCCCGAGCAAACTGCAGCTGCTACGCATTCCTGACATACTAAGGGCCGCGCCTCTACCATGTAACGCCGCGAACCTTTTGACTCTGACAGACGTGACACCTAAGTACTCCTACATTGACCTCCAAATGGGTAAGCATAGCATCTGGCATCGAATTCTACCTCGGTTTTGCCTGAGCTAACATCTGACAGATCTTGGGAGCGCAACTATTACCGGGACCGCTGGTGGTGGTGAGAAGTTGATTGGACTCTACCCTCCGACACCACGTAACCTTGCCGTATTCAGCAGCCAGAAAGCCTTTGTCGATACGCATGCTCACCTCGAAAGGGGTGTTTTTATGGCACTCACGAGTGAGGAGTGCTGTTTCATTCCTGCTGGCTGGCTTCACACGCTATATACAACTGGCAGCGGGCCCACGGCCGTTCTGAAGTGGCCGACGTCGGAATGTTTCTAAAGGTCTTTTTTCGAGAATCCACCACTTGCAGGCACCATAGCACTTATGCTAATTACCTGCATTCATCTGCAACCATCCAATCCCGGGGCCATTGGACACATACTAGCACCGCTAACACGGCTAACAGAATATGTGATTATGTCGGTTGTACGATTAGGACACGACCGCCTTTTGCATGCTCAGGCAGAGGTTGATGTACTTTGACTTAGTTAGAACAAATATAAAAATGACTGTTTCTCTGGTCGCGGCGGGCGTAAGAGAACGCTGTTGAATAGTCCGCCCAGACAAGCTCGTTCTTATAGGAGCTAATTGCCAGAACGAGACACACTCAATTGAACCTTCGTGGTTCCTATCCGCTATCAAGCGAGGGCTTTGCGTCAAGAGATCAAGACCGAGCATCATGGCTCTATCCCCCATGCACCATTTTTGATGACGTTTTTTTACTCAATTATTCCAGTGTTCCGATTCAAGTTCTGTGCAATCAATTAAAATACTCAACTGTGCCCATAAACATCTTGATCTTATTAGGTAAATACAGATATCTATCAAAAAGCTGCCCGAGAATAAGTCTATAACAAATATTTCATGTTATAGGTAGCACCTTTGCTGCCTTGGCTTTATCACTCAGCCCAGGACCAGGTCTGCAGTATAGTAGTTCGCAATCGTTAATTTATACCAACGCCAATCGCTGCCAATGCCCAGTCCATGAATCCAGCATTTGTGTCCAGAATATTTGTGTTGAACTCGGCCAGAGTTGGATAAAAGTTACCAGAAGGACCAAACTCCAATGTATATGCATAAACCTTATTGACACCAGGTTTCGCCCACAATCGGGAAAAGGAGTAGTCGTCACTGGCACCAGACGTAGGGTAAAGGCCAACTGCTTGAGCAGACGAGTATGAGCGGCCACCAACTGCCTTCATGGCGTTGATAGTGGCACTGGCCACAGTCCTAATGTTGGTGAGGTCGGTAGCCGGAATGTACTCCTTGTACGTAGAGTCGCCCACAGTGCCACGTTTCCCATCATAAGCAGAGTTGAGGAAATTCATAGTAGAGGTGGTCGTTTGATCGTCGTCATCGCCCCAACTGTAGAGAAGATCGCCGACGGCGGAATGAATGTCCATGAACCACCTGATATTAGGAAACGAGTCATAGATGGAGACAAGGTTCTTGGTCTCGGGCTCCGAGGCAGCAGCAGTACCGTAGAAGGTCTCTGAGCTCGGCGAAGTGGATGCAGGTGCTTCAGAGGCGTCGAAGTACTTTTTAAATTTCCAAAGAAAGTCAAAGTTGCGATTAATATCGACACCAATCGAGTTACCATTGGAGCCAGATTTTGTATTTCGATTCTTTCGCCAGTAAGACCCAGAAGATTGGTCGTAGGTGACCCCGTCCGGGTTCACAAGAGGGAAGAAGACGATACCGGCAGCAAGAACGCTCTTGACTTGGGCATTGGTGTAGGTCTTCCTGCGATAGTTCAGGCCACTTCCAGACTTATTTGCAGCGAGCAGATCTGAGACCCAGTAGATAATGTTGTCCGGACCACCCCGCTCACGGGCATGCACTCCAGCACTGAAGTACAAATGGTACTTTGACTTATCGGTTCCAGCCCCGGCATAGTAGGCGTACTGAGAAGCGCCGTTGAAAGTCTTGGAGGGCAGAATGATTGAACCGATTCCGTAGTTTTTGACAAGGGCGTCGGTGGCTGACTTGATCTCAGCGACGTTCATAATACTGGCGATAGTCTTTCCGGAAGGTTGCGTTCCAAGGCCAACTGGTGAGATGGTTCCAGCGCCGAAGCGGTCGCCAGTGCCAATTGGAGCAGTGGCCCTCTTATGCAAATCCGTCTTGTGAATCGAGACATCCGGCACCAACTCATACTCTTTGGACAGATACTCTATTTGCTCCTCAGTCAGCCAAGCATGAAGTCTGTAGTGACTGCTATCCTCGTTTGGTTTCGCAACAGCTCTGCAGCCGAAGTCGTACGTATCATTGCGAACTATATCACTGCATAAGGTCAGTCATTGTTTGAGTTCTGTGGAAAGTCGTCTTACCTGAGGTGCGATGGTGTTGGTGCTTGTAGATATACAGGCAGTAACTCCCCCACCCTATATCCGAACCACCCCCGCATCCGAACCACCCGAAATTCCCACATTTCCCCTTCTTCATCAACACCACTACCTTTTTTAAACTATTACAACAATTACTATTTATTACTAAATAACGCTATTTTTTTAGGATACCTTCTTTAAACTATTATAAAGTAATATTCTAAAGATAAGCTCTAACAGGCCCTCCTAGATATACAGTCTAGGCAGTATAGCCTCTAGGCTGTTACTTATAGATAGGGTATACTATATATAACACTTTAGTATTAATACTTTAGTAAGTAAAGTAGGAATACTACCTTTAAAGATAAGCAGTACTTATCCTAGGCCTAAGAGGATAATCTAGCTGCCTATATTACTTTTTAATAGTCCCTTAGTAAATACGTTAACTATTAATAAGTAAAAGGCCTAGTAAAGCGTATAATAGGTAATAGGTATCCTCTTCTAAAGAGGAAATAAATAGCCTAATTTATATAGTAAAATCTATCTATTAGAACCCTCTAATCTAGAGTAATTAATACCTAGTAATAGGCAGCTTATTCCCCTAAGGTTATTTAGGATGTTAGGTGCCTAGAGCAGGGCCCTAGGGGGGCACTAGAGTAAGAGTAGGACTAGATAAACTAGTTACTAAAGGAATAACAAAAGGAGAAAACTCTATAGAAGATAGGGGTTAGAGGAGGTATATTAAAATAATTATTATAATTAAACCCTAAATACACTTATTACTAACTCCTTTACTTAATACTATTCTTACCTTTAATATATTCTAATATCTCCTTATCCTTAGGTATATTAACTACTAAAGTAGTAATAGTGCTTACTAAATCCTAAACTATAGCCTAGTAATAAGAGAGCGCTATAATAAGATAACTAACGCCTAATATAACTAAGTCTACACTAGTAGATAAGTAGCGTACTATTAACTTAGGTAAGCTATTAGAGAAAAAGCTAAAGGCCTTTCTAAAGGAGAAAGTAAAAAAAGTAAAAAAAAAGAAAATAATTAATTAAATTAAGGCCTTTTAAAGTAGTATATCTATAAAAGATATATAAGAAGAAATAAAAATAACTACTAATCTCTAACTAGAGGCTAAGTAACCTTATACTAATATGCTTTTAAAAAGATTACTTACCTTAAGGTATAAAAGGGGAAAGTAAAACAAACTATAAGAATTCTTATTTTAGTAAGAAATATATTTTAATATAGTAAAGAATAACTTTATAACTAATAATAATAAAGTAAAGTATATTAGTATTATACTAAAAAGTAACTTAGTATATAAATAAAGAAAGTATATAGGTTTTTATTATAAAGGTAAAATTAATAAAGTCCCTTAAGAAGTTATAAAAGACTAGCTAAAAGTAGACGTTACTAATAATAATATATAGGCTTTTAGTACTACTATAAAGCTAAATACTATATAATAAGCTTTAAGCTAGTTATATTAATAATTTATTAATAAGTATAAAATAGTTAAGAAGAAGTACCTTAACCCCTAAATAGAGAGGTAGTAAGTAGTCTATATTTTAAACTAGGTGCTCTTAGACCTAAGGACTTATATACTTACTAGAGGACTACTAGCTACTTACTAAAAGTTAGATAATATAGTAAAAAAAGTAGAAACACTTACTAAGACTTATATAAAAGAGGTATTAAGAGAATAGCTAAGGTAAGGTTAAGAAAAAAAGGCTACTAAGGGGTATTAATATAACTAATAACTATAGACACCCTCTTAACTAAAGCTACTAGCGTGTGCTTAATACTAATAGCTATAACGCTAGTAGGTATACCTATATTAAAGCTAGAGGTTAAAAAAAAAGAAAAAGGTATAACACCTTAGCTAGAGGGGACCTAAGGACTACTTACTTATTATAACTATAAGAAGCCTAAGTACTAGTTAGCTAAGTATAGTAAGAAGAAGTACTATAAGTATAAATAACTATAATACTTAAAGAGATAATACGCCTTAGTACTAATAAAGGTTAATAGTATTAAGCTCCCTTAAGATAAAAGACTATACTACTACTTTAAGGTAGATTTTTATACTAAAATAAGTAGTATATAAAAAAAGAAAAAGGCACTAATTAATCTTAATATAAATAAGAACGTACTATACTAAAGGATATTATATATAGAGGTACTAGTAAAAGTAAGCTAAGAGGGCCTAGCGCTCTAAGGTATATAAGGAGGTAAGGCCTTAGACTATAAAATAAAAAGGGTAGTAATAAAAGTTATAAATAATATAAAGGTCTTAAAGATATAAAGCTATACCTTCTAAGTTAGTAATATAGCTAGGTATAACACTATCCTAAAGATCCCTTAAGGATAAGTAGTATAACTAAATATAAAGTAAATAATAATTAGTTAGATATACTTATTAAAAAAAGACTACCTCTAACTTATCTAAAGTAAGTAAGAAATTAAGAAGGCGTATAAGGAGTTAAGGGCTATTTTAGCTTATTAACTAATAATTTACTACTTATAATATAGGGGGAATAAGGGAGCACTAAAGATACCTTATTATAACTAAGGAGAAGAGGTAGAGGCTAAATAGGACAGAGGAATAAAGGCTACCCTACTAAAGGCCTATAAGGAATAAGCATACGTGTTTAATATAGGCCTAGCAGCCTAGCTAGTAAGTAATAAAGGCTACTTATATATAATTAATTTAAAGCTAGAGGTAGAAGCGCTATTTAGCCCTATCTACCTATTAGCTAAGAAAAAACTAAAGAAATTAAGGATATATATTAATAAGTTACTTAAGAAAGGCTAAATTAGACACTCTATATGTTAAATAGTAGGGATTATAATAGTTACTTAATTAATTCTATTCTATGTTATGTCTTTATAGTAAATTACTATAGAAATAGGAAAAACCCCCTATTTCTTAGTTAGGAAATCCCTAGCTAATCCTAGCGATATTATTAGTAGACTTACCCTAAAAGTAGGGCTAATTTACTGCCTATTCCCTAACAATTTGCTATAGGGTAACTATGTATTTACTAGTTAATTTATATATAATTCTGCTATATTAAATACACCCCCTTAGTGCTAATAACATAGTTAATTACTATAAAGCCTATACTAAATATCCTCTATATATAGCCTATTTGTTTATTAATTATCTTTTAATATCTTATATATTTTCCTCCTCTATCTAGTAGTAAATCTTTACTTTATTATTAGCTAATTCTTACTATTAATTTACTTTAAGGCGTATACGTTAGTTACTTATATTTAATTAAGCTATAGATATAGTAAATTATAGCCCGCTAAGCGCCTTTATTAATCTATTAGCTATTAATTTAGTAGACTTCTTATATTTAATAGTAATCTAATCTACTACTACTTCTTATTATAGCTAGTAGTTATAAATATCTATATACTATAGCCTTATCTATAGTTAGATAAGCTCCTTAGTAATAAGCCTAATAGTCTAGGTATTATTATAGCTAATATAAATAGTTAGTAGCTGTTTAGTAGCTACCTACTTATTAAGTAATAATTTAGTTCCTATTTATATTAATAGTTAAATACCTAGCGTAGTAATTAATCTACTAGTAAAAAGTGCCTCTTTTATAGTAAATAATAAGGCTAGTAATTTAGCCTTAGTAGTTAACGTTATTACTATATCTTATTTATTTACTTACTAGGAGATAAGCCCTCTAAATAGCTTTAGTGTATACGCTTATAAGCTATAATAGTCTAGTAAGTTATTAGTAAATAAGGCGTCTAAAGTAACCTCTAACGTATTATCTTTACTACCTAGCGTTACTTTATATTTAAGGTAAAGGTGCTACGTTTAATAGAGATACTTAAGCACTTAATGTACTGCCTTTTAGTAATCTAGATTTAGATTATAGTTAAAGTAGGTAAGCTAGCTAGCTATAAAAGTAATATCTAGCTAAGTTATTACTACTATATATAGGATTATCTTTACCTTCTTTTAATATTAATTAACCTCTTGTAATAAGGCTATATATTTACTAGGTAATAGCTTTACCTTTACTATAGGTAATAATTTATTATATTTTTTATTTATTAGTAGTAGTTTAGTTATTTTATTATAGTATACTACTTATAAAAGCTAGAGATAGTAGTTACTTTAGTTATAAATTACCTTAAGGCTAAGGAACTATTATAATAGGCCTTTACCTTTAAGGTAGTATTATTACTAAAGAGCTACTATCTTATTACTTACTTACGCTTTATCTATATAGTAATAGGCTAATATATAGTTATTAATATAAATAAAGAATATAATATAATCCTTTTTCTAATAGTAATTCTTACTAGGCACTTAGTAAAAGCCCTATATAGTAAGTCCTTCTTTAAGGTACTTTTACTATAGTAGTAGTAATTACTAAAGCCTATATAGCGCTTTTAGTAGCTAGAGGATCTAGCTAGAGATTTAGTAGCTTAGAGGTATCTCTATAAATACTACCTTATTAATAGTAGTGTAAATAAATATATTTACTATGTTATATTAAAGTAATTCTAGATTAAAGTAAGTAGCTATTACTATAAGTATTTTAAATAACGTACTTACTAATATAGCTATATAGGTATCTTATAAATCCTTTACTTATTAGTTACTATAGACTATAAGTCTTACTTTAAATTTAGTTAATTAACTATATTTATTAAGCTTATAGGTATATACCTAATAGTAGCTAAGGATTTAATACCCTTTAGCTACTACCTATAGCACTATTACTTAAGATTTTAATATTTTATACTTATATAGATATACTATTTTAGTGTCTTTAAATTACTTTTTATATAGGTAGTCTTTTAACTATCTGTAGATTAGTAGAGGGTGTAGTAACTTCTAATATATACCTATTAGCCTATAAGGTCTAGTAACGCCTTTATTACGTGCTAGTAATTTACTAGTAACGTCTTTATAATTATTATACCTATTAGGCGTTATATAGTTAATTAAGTAGCCTTAGGCGCGCTTTAGCTAAAGGTAGTAATTTTTACTTATTAGTTAACTTTATAATATACTAGACTATATTATTACCTATAAGCTACCTTATATATAGT